CTGGCTGTGGGAGTTGGTGTTCCCGTTGAACAGCAGGATGGCTGGTCATGCGTAATGTGAGTCATGTGAGATGTAGGAGTTGAGTAAAAACACCAGGCTAGAATGTTTTATTTTCTGAGACCTTTGATTCCATTCCGCATCACTGTTTTGCCTTTGTACTGACTCATTCGATTCTATGCAGGATGATTGGGAGTGCAAATGACATTGTGGAAAAAATTCAATCAAGCTGCACAAATTTTGGAATGCACGCATTGTTGCCCAGGGTGCCCCGCGAAAGCGCCTCACTGCGCGAAAGCAGATTGGCTGATCGCTGAGCCTTCTCATTTTCAGTGAAGGGGAATATTGCAACCGTTGATACAAGAATCTAAGCTTCTTGTTTCAGCTGACTCTACATAACAACTTTAACTTATGCTTCGATGAACTACTTGCGCCCGTTTATCACTCCCCTCCAGAATTTCCAGTAGCTCATCCAGGTGTTTATATAGATTGTTATTTTCGCAATTCATCTAATTCGGCACCTTTGATGGTTCAAGAGTCGAAGGTGGGTCAAAGGCACTGCCTGAATGAAATGTTGAGGCTAGAGTGAGGTTCACCCAAACCATGTACCATGCTGTCGCATGTTGAGGCAATTGTCATTGTTTCTCAGAATCTGGTAGTGTCAATGTGCAAGCAGTTGCGATGCTTTGTAGATGCAGCAATTAATCTTCTCAAGAGTCCTGCTTTGAAGCCAGGGAGCAGGGAAACCCTGCATTTGGATCATCGGCATACACTACAGTGCACCTGCAGGGAGAAGATTTCAAGTTTGGTTCATGCCTGACCGTTGATGCCTGGGAGCTTCATGGCAGTCTCTGCACTTTGCCAGACCAGAGCCACGTTTGGCAGAGGCGTTTTTTCGTCTCAGTCGATGAAGCAGCCTCTCAGCAATGTTCTTAGTGTATTTTCCCTTTTCATCGATCTGCAAAAGTCCCTTGCCGAATGATTTGAGTCTGTTCCACAGTCTATTTTGGTAACTTTCTGCAGACACTCAAGATAGCCACGAATATCTCGCAAAATGATGTCGTGGGAATGATGGACCGCCTGGTTCGTTGACATCCGAAAGAATAGGTATATATATATATATAGTAAAAGGCAAATGAGCGAAAAGGTGCATCTATCAGATCTTGGCTCAAAGACCATCAGGGCATCAGGGTTTGGGGCCAATAATGTATTGACAGGTTTTTCACAGTCAACACAGAAGCCACTTAGACTAGATTAGAATGGATCAGCTTTCCGCAAAAACTTCATGACCTGGTGAGTGCGGCGCCTGTCGTCCGAGTCACGGAGTGCCCATGGCAGGCGCCTTTTCCTTTCTGCATCTTGCCATGCCTCTTGCTCTCTTCCATCATCCGCATACACTTAACACTGATCCCCTATCATTCCTTTTACTTCCATTTTCCCTCCACTTGTTCTGAACACAGAAGCTACACATGTGGGTTATTTGGTCCTCTCATTTTGGAAGGGATGGGGAGGAACACTTTTTGTTTGATATTTGAGTGTTGCATGCTTGGGTTGGAATCTCATTGTCATTGGGCACTCAAGGTGGATGGTGACATTGCCGCGGCTCAAAACGCAGGAGAGCGAGGGAGAGCGAGGGAGGAATCGCAGGTGACGGTTTCTCAACGGGGTGTTCAACACTTCGTCTTTCAGACTTTGCAGTTGCAGACGAACTTGTGGGACAAAGCCCAGCAAAACGCCTTTCGTCTCGGTTCCGTTTCGCTTCGACGCGGCCGCTGGGGGCGCCAATCGCACGATTCAAGACTTGCTCTGAGGCACCAGAGCAGATGGAGAGATCCAAGACTGTGCAGGTACAGTCTGAAGCCAAACGGAAGCAACACATTCCATTTGTGAAAATATCATCGATGTCCAACTGTGCAAAGCAGGATCTTGGGAGATGCTTCTGAGCTGTCAGACAGATGAGAGTTTCCTACTATGGTGCTTGGCAGGGATGAACATAGCAAGACAAATGCACATGTTCAAAAATACAGACCTTTGCCTGGCAGGTCTTGTGCAAGTCCCTGACCCCAGAGCAGCCCTGTGAGGTGACTTGCAGCATGAGCAGTCCAGAACAATCGTGAGACAAAGTGAAAAAGAGATGCAATGAAATCAGATGCTTTGTACATGCTTTTGGTGGAACACACACACACACACACACCTTCAGGGTGTTCTGCCACAATCGGCATTGAAGAAGTTGTGCCAAGTTCTGATTCAGCTGGAAAACAACGAAAGTCTGCATAAATCAGACGATGGGGATGGGTGACAGGGAAGCGACGGTGATGCTCAGATATTCACTGGAATTCCAGGCAGAAAAGAACAAGCGGGGTGCTGAGATGGGCAGACGATGAATGCAGTGCGAATGAACGAGGGCTTGAAGCACTTTGGCTAGATGCCTGGTTTTAACGCCCACAAGTGGGTATCCTCCGTTCCTCCATCCGCATTGCATTGCCAAAGAACCCTCTGGTCAGAAAAACGAAGTGAAACAATCGCAGTTTTTTTCTTTTCGTCGTCACCGCATGATTGCCACGCAGTCTGCAGCCAACACAGGTGGCCACCTCTGAAGCAAGTTCCCAAAGGTGGCATCCGTAGAGCGAAAGTGAAAGTCGGTGGAGCGAAACGGAGCAGATTCCGTCACGTCGGAATGTGTCAAGTGGTTTGACCGTCGGAATTGGTTTGACTGTACTGTACTCCATTGTGGGACGGCTCGGCGTTTGGGCTGAAGTTGAATAAGGCCGTTGTCCGGTGTTTCAGGACATCAATGATGCAGGAGCTTGAAGTATCACAACATGGTGCATGTGTCTCTTCAGTTGTAGCCTACGAGGAACACTTGTTCATTTGAAGTCATTTCAATCTCTTCCAGCATGATCCATCTTCTAGCATAATTATATAACTACAAGAGCGAACACCTTCATTGCCTTCTGCAATTCTGAACTCAAGAGAACAACAGTAACCTGTGGTCTTCACAGCATAGCTTGGTCTTCTGAGGTGCTGAGCGGAAGGCTTTGTCGGTGGTTGGCTGTCGACGCACAGCAGCTGTCCTGGTCCCTGGTGGAAGAGACTGCTGAAACACTTTGATCACTGAACAAATTTGCAAGTGATAAGATGATCATCTGAATGCAACACCAGATATCATTGGCTGTCTCAAGTTCAAGAGCTGCAAGTTGAGCCAGTTCGCATCATCTCAGGTCACCAGAAACCTGTCGTCTGCAGACCTCAGGCGGAGACCAGTGCGGGCTTGTTATTCTTGTTTGGTTGGTATTTCTGCAGACCACTGCAACCTGCAACCCAAACTACTGCTTCCGCGCAGTCAACGAGTCGACGCGCGATATCTTGGCTCCAGCTAAAGGAATTCTGCTCCGCCCAAGCAGTTTGTACAGAAAGAACGCTCCGGAGGGACTCAAGATAGATTGTTGTGCTTAACACTGGAGGTTTGTTGATCTCTCACTTTTGAGGGTGATGTTTGCAGCCTGAAACACTTCGGTCAAGTATTTGAAGTCCCTGCGGAGGGTGAGCCGTTTTTGCCTCATAGGCTTTGCACCGCCTTGTGAATTCTACGCTGGCATCAGTAATAGGGAGTTGCACGTTTGTAGATCAGACACTGCCTGATCAGCTGAGCTTTCCATACAGCAAAGATGTGTGGCAGGATGATCTGGCAATCTAGCGAGCTTCTGCTTCAGCCAAACCCATCCAAATTTGTCAAGCATCATTTTTCACAACTCTGAGTCACTGAGGCGAAACTTCAGCATTTTCTTTTCCTTATCGCCGATCAAAGGCTTCAACGATTCCAAACATGGTCCATGCCAGCTCAAATGGCCATGGGGAATGGCATTTGCACCAGATACGCGCCTTGGCGGTGCAGCAACGATGTAACAATGTATGCTTGTGGATTTTGCCTTGACTTCAAACATCAAGTTCAAGGCCGCTTTGGGGCCACGGCCAAAATCAGAACACCTAAGAACAAACGGATCAAAGTCTGCTTGTGCTTGGAACAAAGCTTGAGCAATCCCGAAGCTGAAGATGAGTCGATTTCCCACACTTCCAAAGAGTCGTTGGGATTCTGTTAGACTCTGTCGGACACGCCTGTCGAGGTTGTAAAGATTCAGGGAATGGATCGCTGAAACGCCCTACCACACTACTGATCCCTGGTCAAAAGATTCGTCCAGGGTCCATTCAGGAGTGCTGGGAGAAGTCACTTGCGCAAGCGCGCAGAGCTATGTCTGTGAGTGGAGTGGGAGACATAGCAACATTGATGTCAGGTTGTGTGAATTGCATAATTGGTCGGTAAAAGCTTTGGCCGGTCTGAGGGATTGATGATTCTTTTGGTCGGTTTTCTTCTTTCGGAACGTGGGGTCTCTCCATGATGCAACCGACTTCGCTTTGCTGACTTTGCGGAGCTCCAGGAGTGGCCAGTGAAATCTCCGGCCTCGGCCTGAAAGGGCACAATTCAGAGGATCACCTGCAATGACTGATCCAGAATATGAGCTTGTGCTCGAAGTGTGTGCAGACACAACGTGTGCCATCATTTGCCGATTTACTCGGGCAGTTTTGACTTTTACTCAAACCGGGTTTCTTTTTGGCTTAAGGTGGAGGAAGTGTGACATTTGGCAAGAAAGGACGAGTCAGTACAATCCTCTTCGATTGCCTAGCTGAAAGCGCACTCAAACGAGATAACGGCCATCGGAAAGGGCTGACTGAAGATATCATTCCTTGAGAATCGTTTTCACCTGTAACAAAAAACTTTCTAGTATGTCTTTGAAGCTTCTTAGTAAATTTAGTAACTAGAAGCAAGGTGCCATCATTGCTCTTTGGAGCAAAGCGATTGAAAGGAGAGGGATCAAGCCACATTCCCTGCAAGTCTAAGTGTTGGAGAGTCGATGTAGTGGAAGCTGAAGCTCTTTTTGTAAGGGTAGCACGGCCCATGGCAGCCCTTTGGAACAAACAACTAGACAGATGTGATTTTGCTTGCTATGGCGCGCTGCGGGCGACGATGGTGGTTTTGGGCTTTGCTTGTCCTCCCCAGGAGCCTGGGAACGAAATTGGAGGTCCTGAAGTCTACTGCTATGCAAATTGTAAGGGCTTCGCCCGGGTGCCGCCGACCCCTTTTCAAGAGGAGTGTAGCATGTGTAACTGAAGGCGTTAGTGTCGTTCCGGTGGTTGCCCGTCTGCGGAAAGAAGATGGGTGTTCTAGCCTTAGGCGTGGCCTCGGACAGGCTAACTGTGGCCTGTGCTAAAGCCCACAAAGGTGGAGATGCCAATGCCAATAAGGTTGCACTCTGCGAGGCGCCGAGAAGCGTCTGACGGGGGCCGTCGCCTTCGGAAGCCTAGAAAAGAAGAGGCTGGCCTCGGCTGCTAGCACCGTACGTGGCAGCCCAGGCCACGCCAAGGCTGCGTGGCCTCGGACAGGCTAGCTGTGGCCTGTGCTAAAGCCCACAAAGGTGGAGATGCCAATGCCAAGGTTGCACCCTGCGAGGCGCCGAGAAACGTTTGAGGGGGGCCGTCGCTTCGGAAGCCTAGAAAAGAAGAGGGTGGCCTCGGCGGTTAGCATCGTATGTGGCAGTTCAGGCCATGCCAAGGCTGCGTGGCCTCGGACAGGCTAGCTGTGGCCTGCGCTAAAGCCCACAAAGGTGGAGATGCCAATGCCAAGGTTGTGCCCTGCGACCCCAGGATATACACCAACAACAGCAATCACAGCAGCAGCACTAAGAAGAAGACCCAGAAGCATCACAAGATCAGAAAAAACCACTAGCAACAGGCAGCAAGAAGCATAGTAGCAATGCCTCTGTTCTGGCTGTGCTAATAGACTGGCGGCTGTTTGCGGGGG